CTAGGGACAGGACAGAGAAGGAGCACCCCCTGGCTGCAGAGGGCGTGACAGTATGTGCCAAGTTAACAAAAACAGGAAAAAAAATGCCTGATACAAATGGTATAATTCGTGTGATAAAAAGTAAGCTAATTAAAATATACTGCAACCAGCTCTTTGAGTTAATAGTAATTCAATTTTCTATGGCCCCTTAAGGGTATTTCTTGAGCTTTTTTGATATGCATTGCACCCTGACTGCAATTGGTTATCATGATTCCTTTGGAAAGTATTGCTTAGTTTTCCACAGAAAGCATACTTGCCAGATGAGACAAAGTTCTGAAAGCATGCTTGAGCAAATCCAGCACTTGGTGTCTGAGAACAGCACAGTGTTATCTTTTCTTTCTTGTTAAAACTATAGGCACTGACAGAAGCATCTGCCTGAAATTAAAGAACTGATATGGGCTTCATTACATTTGATGTTCAGTCTGCGCATGTATCTTACAACCTAACCATATAAATTTGAAATAATTCAGTATGGAACAAATGCATCTATAGTTTTACTATCACCCGTGACACTGATGAAAAGTTACCATCCTAGTATGGGGGAAATTATGCATACATTTACACTTGTAAGTTAAAAAAAAATGCAGGAATTTTATTGTGAGCTGAGCAAGGAAAAATGAAAGAAACTATTGGAGGTTCACTATTCCCAAAATCTCAATTTATTTAGGGGGTATCCTTCCTTCAATAAACTTGCAGATCATTTGCATAATACTTGAACTGGAACATCCTATTTTTAAGTGATTGATAATGTCTTCTCTAATTTCCTAAATATGTTTTTAACATAAGAAAAGCACATTTTCTACAAAACAGCACCTTCATTGATTCAATCTGGGTCTTTATTAAGATTAATTAACAATTAATCTTACAACTCTCTCAAGTAACGTCAATGCCTCAACCAGTACTTGCCCCAAGAACAGGGGCTACATGCCCCAGATGCTATGGGCCATTGTGCTAGTCAACCATGAGCAGGATTCCCCAAGCTGTAGCACACAATTGATTCAGCATTGCTGTGAATAGGTACAGGATGAACTAGCCAGGATTAGTGAATCAGCAACGCCGGTGACTTCTAGTGTGACTTGCATTAATGTCAGTGGGAGATCCATTTCTCCCCTCTTTATGTCACTGCACAGCTTGAAGTATGACCAGAAGGTGAATGGCTCAACAGGAAGGTAGAATGGAGGAGTCTATCTGCACTTACTTGTTTTTTTGTGCTGTGATTCCAAAGTTAGGTATGCAATTAAAAAAAAAAACTATTTTTAAAAATGTGAAAAGTACAGTCACTGCCTCCACCTGCTTCCATGAGAATAATATAGGCTCACAGCTTACAGGTGGGAGAAGACATAGTTAAAGAATTACAACCAAAATATTTTTATTTGGACTATTGTTCTAAAAAAATTGATACATTTGTGGAAAGTTAAGATTATGTACATCTTCCCATAGGTCAATACCATAGGAAATATTATGTAGAAGACAGTAGTCTAAAAATTCCTTCTTAACATTACTGTCAGGCCAGCAGCCATATCACCCTGCAGCTCTGGACTGGTTACCCACTGAAGATAAGCAGGGTTGATCCTGGTCAGTACCTAGATGGAGACCTCCTGGGAAGCTATAAATGCTGCTGGAAGTGGTGTTATTGGGACCAGTGGGGGGTGCCCATCCTGTGGTCTGTGTGGGTCCTAATGTCCCATTATAGTGGCAGGGACAATATACTGTAGTGGATGCTGTCTTTCAGATGAGATGTTAAACCGAGGTCCTGACTCTCAGTGGTCATTAAAGATCCCCGGGCATTTCTTGATAAGAGTAGGGAGTTATATCCAGGCCAAATTCCCCCCCTTGGCCTTTACTGTGGCCTCCAAATTGTCCCCATGTATGATTGGCTTGCAGTTGCCCTGGGATGGACTGGCGCCCCGTCCCAGGTGTACCCTGCCTTGCACTCATTGCTTGCCGAGTAGGCTCTGGCTTCCTGCAACACCGTATGGTATAAAGCGGTTTGGCAGAGGAAGTGACATGACCATTACTGTCCATTTGCTCTTATAATTTCTTGAAACAAATGACATTGTGTGTGTGTGTGCCACATGTTTTCCAGTTACTATCTCTGCTGCACATGTTTTGTGTTTCATGTTTTTTTTTACTTTCATCATGTGTGTTCAATCATCGATGATGATTGCACTGTAGTTTGAGACTTCATTGTAGACTTAATTTTGAAGTAAAAATATCACTTTTAGAATTTCTCTTCTTATCATTTATATCTCAAACAGAAACAGAAAATCAAGTTGCCTTTCTACTATTCACTTGCACTACAGCGGGGACTTGAAAGGGGGGAGGGGTTCTTGTATTTGTAACCTAATGAGCTATGCATTTGTAATGGGTATTTAGCTAACCACATGTGCTGGAAACCCTCTGGTGATTCCATTTTCTAACAACGATAATAAACTGAGGCAGCTGGCCTGAATGAGAGTTCAACAACCTACAGTATAGGTAATACAACCTATTGTACAATACTAAAGTTGGAGTCAAAGAGGATATAGTGGAAAACTGTGTTGAAT